TTATTTTTATGTGGTGCTGAGGCTCAAACCCCATGCTAGGCGAGTGCTCTACCGCTGAGCTATAACCCCAGCCCCTGAACAATTGTTTTTTTTAATCAATCATAATTATCCTACTGTGCTATGGAACATTAGAAGTTATTTCTCCTGGGAAATGGGGATGTGGCTCAGTGGTAGAGGGCTTGTCTAGCATGTACAAGACCCAGAACCATTAAAAAAAAAAAAAAAGTTATATCTCCTATTAAACTTTGCCTCTGTGCCCTAATAATCATCCTCTCTGTAACCCTCTCTCCCATATCCTTCTCAGGCTTTGGTAACCAGTATTTTATTCTGTTTCTACAAGATCAATTTTTTAGCTTCAACATGTGAGAACATGCAGTGTCTCTTTTTGTACCTGCCTTTTTTTCTCTTATCATAATGTGATTCAGTTCCAGAAATACTGTTACAGATAACAGAATGAATAAAAATCGAATTTTCATAACTAATATTTCATTTTGTGTGTGTGTGTGTGTGTACATACAACACACCACATTTTAAAGAAAATTCATTCATCCATTGATGAATTTCTCTGGATCCTGGCTATTTTGAATAGTGCGGCAATGACAAGCATGGTGGTACACGTCTGTAATCCCAATGGCTCAAGAGGCAGAGGCAGGAGGATCACATGTTCAAAGCCAGCTTTAGCAACTTAGCAAGGGTGTAAGTGAAATAAACGTATGAATAAAAAAGGGGCTGGGATATTGCTCAGTGACTAAATGCCCTTGGGTTTAATCCCTAGTACAAAAAAAAAAAAAAAAAAAAAAAGTGCAGCAATAAAGGTGCAAGTATGGATTCTTTGACATATGATTTTATTTCTTTTGGGTATATGCCCATGTTGGAAAAACAAATTGCCTATTTTCCTTTGGTTTCTCACCATAATTAACACAGAAGACTTCTATAACTTCAGAAGATGTGGGATTTCTCACTACAAGCAAACAAGCATTACAGCAACAGCTGGATATCCTCAAATTTAATTCTGGTACTATTTGGAGATAGCATCAGATCCCACAGGTTGAGGGCTCAGTCCCCAAGACTGCTTCCCACTTTAAATGCTTTTCCAAAACCTAGGTTGTTTCACCTGTGCCTCTGACCTATTGGCTGTAAATCAAGGTTTTCACAAGCCTCCTCCTTGGGTTCAGTTAATTTGCTTAAGGCACTTACAGACCTCAAGAGAAATATATACTTATTTACTGGCTTATTACAAAGACTTTTACAAAAGAGAGTTGAGGGGATTCACAGGGCAGGGTACTAGAGAAGGGGCTTGGAGCTTCCGTGTCCTCTTCTCTGTGCGCCACTCTCCAGGCACCTATACATTTTTAGCTGTCTGAAAACTTTCTAGAACCCTATCATTTTGGATTTTATAGTGGAGAATTAATTTCATAGGCTTGACTAAATAATTGGCCATTGGTAATCAACTCAACTTTCAGCTACTCTCTTCTTTCTGGAGGTTGAAGGTAGAGCTGCAAGTCCCACCCTCTAACCCTGTCTTGGTCTGCTCTAGCCCTGAAGCTTCCTAGGGGCTAACAACCATCAGTCAACTCCTGAGTATAGAAAAAGGAACCATCACTTTGGGAATCCCAAGGATTTCAGGAGTTGTAGGTTAGGAAATGAAGATGAAAACTAAATACATATTTTATAGTATCACAGCCTAGCAGTGGGATAGCAGTATGTTGGACCACATACTATTTTTTTTTTTAAAGTTTAATTGTATGTATTCCTGGTATACAGTGTGATATATCAATACATATATACAATGTGTACTGATAAAATCAGGGTGATTGTTCCCATCACCTCATCAATATGTTTGAAGACTTCAAGCTTCTCTCTACTAGCTCTTCATGAAACATAATTAATAAAAGCGTTCTTTTTTCTTTTTTTTGAGGATGATGATATTTTGCAGTCCTAGAGGCCAGAAGCCTGCTCCAGGTCTCTTTCCGTTTGTGATGGCAGTTGGCAATTTGGGCATTCCTTTGCTTATAGATGCAATACTCTGTTTTCATACGGTGTTCTTCCGGTGTCTGTTTGCTATTATTTTGTTGAGGTTTTTTAATATATGTACAGTGTCTGACTTACCGATGTTTCAGCTTAACAATTTTTCAACTTAACAATACTGTTTAAAAAAATACTGTGAAAGTGTACTCATACAACTGTTCTGTTTTTCAGCTTTAGTATAGTATTCAATAACTTACATGAGATTTTCAACATTTCATTATAATATAGGCATTGTGTTAAATGATCTTGCCCACCTGTAGGCTGATGTAAATCAGGTAAATCTCTATGCTTATTGTAGGTATATTCAAATTTTCTTTTTCAAGAAAGAACTATATTCAAATTTTTCTTTCAGTTTTGCTCATTTCTATATTATTAAAAATGTGTCTATTTCAGCCAAGTTATCTAATTTGTTGATGTGCAATTGTTCATAGCATTCACTTATTATCCCTTTTATTTCTGTAAGATCAGTAGTAATACCCCAGTTTTATTTCTGATTTTGGTAACTTGAGTCTTCTTTTTTCTTAGCCTTGCCAAAAAGTTTGTCAAGTTTGTTATTTTTTAATTTTATTTTATTTTCTAAGAATCCACTTTCGGTTTGGTTTGGTTTATTTTTCTGTTAACTATTTCCTTGGTATCTGTTGTAATCTTTATTACTTTCTTCCCTCTGCTAGCTTTGGTTTTAGTTGGCTCTTCTTTTTCTAGTTCCTTAAGGTGTAACATTAGGCTATTCATATAAGATCTTTTTTTTAAATTTTTTTTTAGTTGTTGATAGATTTTTATTTTATTTATTTATATATGGTTCTGAGAATTGAACCCAGTGCCTCACACGTGCTAGGCAAGTGCACTACCTCTGAACCATAGCCCCAGCCCATAACATCTTCTTTTTAATGTTGATGTTACTATAAATTTCCCTTTTTACACTGATTTTGTGCCGCATAAGTTTTACTATGTTATATTTTTATTTCAACTTATGTCCAAGTATTTTCTGATTCTTTCTTACAATTCTTCTTGACTTGCTATTTAAGAGTATATTGTATAGTTTACACATTCTTGTGAATTTTCTGAATCTATTAAGTTTTCTTATTGATTTCTACTTTTATTCTATTCTTCCTAGAAATATATTATTTCCATATTTTGTTACTTGTTTAAACTTGTTTTGTGACCTAAAATATGGTCTTTCCTGAAGAAGGTATCAATAGAGAACAATATATATTCTACTGTTGTTGAGTATAATGTTTTGATATGCCTTTTGGGTTGAGTGGTTAACAGTGTTGTTCAAATCTTTGGTTTCCTTATTGATTTTCTATTCTAACTGCTCTGTCCATTATTGAAAGTGGGTAGTTGAAGTGTCCAACTGTTATTTTTGAACCATTTCTATCTTTAACTCTGTCAAATTATAGTTCACATATTTGGGGGGGTCTGTTGTTGAATGAGAGTATGTTTATAATTGTTATATCTTCTTGATAGCCGGACCCTTTTATCAATATCTAATGTAATTCTTTGCCTCGTATATTAATTTTTATTTAAGGTCTGGTTTTTCATCTGATGATAGGATAGAATCTTCATATCTCTTTTAGTTCCTATTTTGTTTACTAAAAAAAAAAAAACTCAGACTCAATTTCTCCTACTATCCACTCACCCTATATATTCATAACACTTATCACTTCTGATAACAAATGCTGCGGTTTGACTATAGTTTGTTTCCCCAGAGTTCCTGTGTTGGAATAATAAATCACTTGTCAGTTTTAAAATGATTTCTTGTATGACAAGTCATTTTTCTCCTGCCCTTCTCAGAATTATCTTTTTCTTTGGCTTTCAACAGATTGAGTATAATGTGTCTTGGTGTAGATCTCCTTGAGTTTATTCTCCCTGAAGTTTTTGAGCTCCTGGATGTAAATATTAACTTTTGGGGCTTAATTGGTGGTCTTTGACTATTATTTCTTTTTGTTATTGTTGTTCTGATCAGTTATACATGACAGCAGAATGCTCTTCAATTATTATGCACAAAAGTAGGGTCACACCATTCGTGTGATCATACATGTACTTGGGGTAATGATGCCGGTCTTATTCCACCATCTTTCTTATCCCCATGCCCCCTTCCCACTCCTCCCTCCCCTTTGGCCAATCCAAAGTTCCTCCATTCATCCCATGCTCCCCACTGCCCCATTATGGATTAGCATCCACTTATCAGAGAAAACATTCGGCCTTCGCTTTTTTGGGATTGGCTTAGTTCACTTAGCATGATATTCTCTAACTCCATCCATTTACCTGCAAATGCCATAATTTTTTATTCTCTCTTATTACTGAGTAATATTCCATTGTGTATATATACCACAGTTTCTTTATCCATTCACCTATTGAAGGGCATCTAGGTTGGTTCCACAGTTTGGCTATTATGAATTGAATGCTGTAAATATTCATGTGGCTGCATCACTGTAGTATGCTGTTTTTAAGTCCTTTGGGTATAGACCAAGGAGTTGGATTAGCTGGATCAAATGGTGATTCCATTAGAAGTTTTCTGAGGCATCTCCATACTGCTTTCCAGATTGGTTGTACCAATTTGCAGTCCCACCAGCAGTATATGAGTGTACCTTTCCCCCCACATCCTCACCAACACTTATTGTTGCTTGTATTCTTTTTTTTTATGTATATCCTTTGTATATTTTACCACATTTCACCTTTAAAACAAATTTTGTACTATATGTCAACATATCTCTGAGTCATTGAACAGTGGTTTAAAAAAAACAAAACCACAAAAAAAAGCTAAGTATATACCTAAGCTGTAAGACTTAGTTTCATGCCATTATCATCTGACTAATGGGCGAAAAACACCTGAATTACAATAACCCATCTCAGCAAAATTTTCCAATTCAAATGAGAAGGGCTTCAATTTACAAATCTCTTTTGAAAGGGCAATATTAATGCAATTCACATCAGAACATCCAGTGAATATAATTTACAACAAGCCACAATTTTGCTATATGGTAGAACTTTCTACTGGTCTTTCAGTTCCTTCAGCCTTCTGATTGCAGACTTGACTGTGACAGCAGAAGTGATGTTGTAGGTCCAAGCACCACCAACCACTGTTTTTATGCAGAAACCACAGTGAAAGATCCCCACAACCCATCTCTTCATCTTGGTTTTGCCACAGAAGGAACAAGTATACTTGGCGTGCCAACTGATTTCAATTTTCTTCACCATTTTCTGGAGGGAGGCACTGTAGCGGGTCCCATATTTACTGACGATTCCGAATTTCTTAGTGTGTTTAGCCATGTCACCGTGACTTAGTCCCGAGACTGAAGAGCTGTTGCTTGTATTCTTGATGAATGTCCTTCTGACTGGGAGGAGATGAAATCTTAGAGTAGTTTTGATTTGCATTTCTCTAATTACTAGAGATGTTGAACACTTTTTCATATACTTGTTGATCTATTGTATATCTTCTGAGAAGTGTCTGTTCAGGTCCTTAGCTCATTTATTGATTGGGTTGTTTTTTTGGTGTTTTTTGAGTTCTTTATATATCCTGGAGATTAGTGCTCTATCTGATGTATGTGTGGTAAAAATTTGCTCCCATACCGTAGGCTGTCTCTTCACCTCATTGATTATTTCTTTTTGCTGAGAAGAAGCTTTTTAATTTGAATTCATCCCATTTATTGATTCTTGATTTTTATTTCTTGTGCTTTAGGAGTCTTGTTAAGTCAGGACCTAATCTGACATGATAAAGATTTGGACCTACTTTTTCTTCTATTAGGCATAGGTTCTCTGGTCTAATTCCCAGGTCCTTGATCCACTTTGAGTTGAGTTTCGTGCATGGTGAGAGATAGGGGTTTAGTTTCATTTTGCTGCATATGGACTTCCAGTTTTCCCAGCACCATTTGTTGAAGAGGCTCTCTTTTGTCCAGTGTGTGTTTTTGGCACCTTTGTCTAGTTGACCATTATTTCTTGAGATTGCTTTGAGATCTTTTCTTTCTTAGCTCTCCTTCTGTGAACTCTGTTATATGTATTTTGGTATTCTTTTTGGTGCCCCCCAAATCTCTTAGGCTTGTTTATTTTCTTTATTCTTTTCTTGAGCTGGATAACTTGAGCTATGGTAATTTTAACCTCTTTTTTTTTTTTTTTTTTTGTATCATATATTAAACCAAGGGGTGTTCAACCACTGAGCCACATCCATAGCCCTTTTTATTCTTTATTTTGAATTTTGAGACTAGGTCTTCCTAAGTTGCTGAGGCTGGCCTCAAAACTGCAATTCTCCTGCCTCAGCCTTCTAAGCTGCTGGGATTAGAGGCATGCACCACTGCACCCACTGATAATTTTAAACTATTTTACTTGACCTATGTTTATTGTGCTGAATCTTATGACTATCTATATCCACTATTGAAGCTCTTTAGTGGGTTTTAAATTTTTGTTATTATACTTTTCAATTCTAAAATGTCTATTTTTTTTCCTTCCTTATTATTTCTCTCTATATATTATTGTTTCCTTTTCACTGATGTTACACATTATTCTTTTGGTTTCTGGGAGTTCTTTAAACATATTTAAGATAGTTATTTAGAACATCTTTGCTAGTGATTCCAATTTATGTTATCTTAGCAAAAGTTTTCTATTAATTTGTTTTTTCTGTCAGTGGGCCATGCTTTCTTAATTATTTGCATGCTTAGTTTTTCTTATTATTGTTGAGTAGTGGAAATTTTTAATATTACGATGTGCAAAAAGGAAAAAAATGTGAACACGTGTAATCTCTCATCTTTGCATTTGATTCTATGTTGGAACACTGGTTCATTGCTTACCCAGGATTCTCAGTGTTCTGCCTTAGCCTAGTCCTTACCTTAAGGATCAGCCAGAGGTGAAGGCTTATGGTTTTCCCAGGTCTCTTCTGAGCATGCATCCTGCCCCAGGCGTTCATGTAACTTTCAAGTTTCCTGGTTTACTTGGGCTCTTTTCAGAGTCCTTGTTCCTCAAAGATGCTCACTCCCACTCTTTTCCTATCTTGTTTTTTGACATATCTGTTGTTTGCATCCACCGTTATTTTGTTCTGGGTAGTGAAAACTTATTCATTTACCCTTCTGTATTTTTTAGAAATTTCTTCTGCTTACACAGACCTCTTAAGTTAGTCCTTAGAGAACCCACAGACAAGTCAAAAAAGACCAACAGTTCCTTGGGAATATGGTCCCTTTTATGGTTATCAATTCAGGATCTCACATCAGTAAAGTGGCACACTATCTTCAAGACTGCAAGGTGGGAGTTGTGGAAAGGGCAAGTTAAAATGCTACAAAGCTGTCCTACCCTGTTTCCATTGCTCTTTTCCTGGTTAGGTGTTTTCTTGGTTGCAGTAAACTTTCTGCTCTCTGCCTGAGTTCTAGTTCTGACAGCCATGCTGTGGATTTTATATTTCTGGGGTGGAATGGCCTTTAATGCTCTCTACTTTGTTTGCCATTTTGGCTGTTGTCCTTATCAATGCATGTTATTCAAAAACATGTTGTGGCCCACTTTCATGGTATGAAGTTCAAATGTCTTGTTTTTGTCTGTTAACTCATATACTGCCTTGGGGCTGATGAGGATGCTGGGTGATACTCTGCACCATAGATCAGTACTCAGTAGTTTTGCTTTGTAGATTCTGGTTGGTTTTGTGTATGAGACAAATGTAGTCATTCCAGGACTTCATTAAAACAGGTAAAGGATCCCTTTCTTTAGGTTCCTCCTGATTCTGGCCCTTCTCTGCTTAGTGTAGAGTGAGGAAAAGTGGCAGAGCACCCCCTCTGTGCAGCATGTCACAAGTATACTTTGGGCTATAGGAATGGCACCCTTTCTTTGCTCATATTTGCTCGGTGTTAGATTTCTTGGATGTCAGGTGGGGGCTGACTGACTCAGTTTCCTTCACAGTCTCCTCAGCTCAGCACCCAATTGGGAAGGGAAGGAACTGTTCAACATGCTTTTGCTTATTGCTGACAGAGCCAGTTGACAGGCTTCATGCCCCACTCAGTGTTTGATTGGGAGCCAAAGGAATGCAGTATTAGGGTTCCATTCTGCAGTGCCCCCCTCTGCTGGCTAAAGGGAGTGGTCTTTCCCTAACTTCTTGTGGTTGTAGTTTTATCTGCACCCTTTGGTAGTTCTGGGTTACAGGCAGCTCAAGTATCCAAACTGGTATATATAGGAGGCAAAAATAAACTCCAAGGAATTCATCATCAGGTCTTTCTTAGATTCCAGAATACTACCAATTCTGCTTTTTTTCTGCCAAAATTTCAGATCTTCTCATGTTTGCTTTCTCTGTGTGTCCAGTGTTTTCAGTTACAGTTAATGGGAGCTTTTCAGTTGATGTGCTTACTCCATTATAGCTTGAGCAGGAACTCGATTCCAACAACCATTTATTTAGTGAATGAATAAATTGAACTAACAGATTTTGGCCCCAACTTGCTCATAGTTTATGTGGCTGACAGTGTTACAATAGATAAAGTATTAGGTGAATTAAGACAGATTTCTATGGGAGCTCATAGGGAAAGAAATGAAATTATTTATAGCTATTAGGGAATAGGATATGTGTTGCAGGAATTATGCAGTATAGTTTAGTTGTGACACTTATGGTTATGGGCAAGGTCCCCCACAAGACTGCCTCCTTTTAGACCCCAGCTCCAAGTTTTAGGGTCCACCTGCATTAATAACTGATAGGCTATGAATTCAGGAGTTCCTGTTAGGCCCCTGGGTTCAATAGTTGCTAAAACCATGAGGAGCTTGCTGAAAACACTATGCTCATAATTACCATTTTATTATTAAGGTTAAAATTTAGAAACAACCAAATGGAAGCAGTACATACATAGCTGGTGGCTGTGAGAGGAAGGGCAAGGGGCTGGGGATAGACATCTTTCTTGTAGAATCTAGCATATCACCCTCCCAGCAAATCAAAATGTTCCCCAGTCAGGAGGTTCCACTGAGCTCCTAGGTTCAGAGTTTTTATTTGGGTTTACATAGGCATGATTGATTAAATTATTGGCCATGTGATTGAGCTCAATCGTCAGTACTCTTTCTTCCTGGAGGTCTCGCTAGTCCAGGTCCATCCCTTTACTAATGTGGCTAAACTGTGCCCTAAACTGGCACATAAATATTTTTTTTTTTCGTACTGGGGATTGAACCCAGGGTCACTTTACTACTGAGCTACATCTGCAGCCCTTTTTATATTTTGAGACAAAGTCTCCCTAAATTGTGGAGACTGTCCTCAAGCTTGCAATCCTCCTTCCTCAGCCTCCTGAGTTGTTGGGATTAGAAGTATGCACCACTGCACCCAGCCCAACATAAATTCTTAACTATTCCTTATTGTACCATATTCATCAAATAAGATTTCTTGGATAATATGGCATTTGAAAGATTGATAGGACTTAAACATTTGGAAAGGGCATTTCAGTCTGAGATAGTAGCAATCATAGAGTGAAAAACATGCAGAAGTTCAAGGTTTAGTACGTAGAAGTATATCCAGTACTTTTTTAGTGTTAGCATAGAACATAAAAAGGAAGAATAAGAAGTAAAGCTAGATTTGGTCTATCATTTAATAGTATTTATTAATCATACTCTCTTATTTCTACAGAGCTGAAGAAAAAAGAGATTTATTCATGTTCTTCCGAAGCCTACATTTTTTTGTGGAGTGGTACAAGTGTCGTAAGCGCACATTTAAACATTTCAAGGTAAAGTTTAAAGTCTTTGAATTTAAACATATATGGAAAATGAAACTGGTTGTAAATTTGGAGATTCAGTCATAGCATAGTTTTCTCAAAGTTTTCAAAGAAGAGAAAATATTTCCATTGACTTCAGGAATTTGCAGTTCTTTGTAATAAATTGAGAAGAAGCTTCAGTATAAACTAGTGACTAATTTATATTGTGGGATGTTTTGAAAGAAATAGAGTAAAATTTTAATGTATTTTAAGATGTACATTTTGAAAAATCAGTCTTTCAAGGGTACTTGAAATAAAATAATAAATTCTACTAAAAAATACAGTCAGAGCAGGCTTGTCATGAAGTACTATAATCTTAACTTCCTGATCCAGACTGTATTTTGAACCTCTTAATTCTTGCACATTTTTAGTTTAAATATTGAAGTCTGTTTTGTGAAGTAATGCGTCTTTGGGCTGGTGGAGAGACTTTAAAGCACTTGTTTTTATTTGTTTTGTGGGTGTAACCAGAATTGTTTGGCTGTTCAGTAATCATTCAGGTCTTTCTTAGCTTGATGGTATCACATTATTGACAGCGGTGAATCATACAAAAACCACCTGTGAAAGAGTCCACATAAAATTTTAAGGTTCATGTTCCTTTTAAAAAGCCTAATGGTCATGACTGTTGTTTTTAAGATTGATACTAACTCCTCTTTATTTTGGGCTCTATTCCTTTTTTACTATTATTATAAGATTTATTCTCTTTGGCATAGCTAATAAAATTTGTCAGGCAGAGGATTTTCTTCAGAATGAAACATGGTCATTTCCCATACTATGGTTCCTTGAGGTGTTTTCATGATTTTGTTATATTTTCTTATATGTAGTCTTGTGCCAGGACAATTAAATATCTGTGTTTCACAACTGGTAAAATATAATGACTGGGAGATTTGCTGGCAGTTGAGGTAGTGAATGAGTCACCCAGTATTGCTGTTTCATTATGCACCGGAGTGGCTGATGGTAACTGTGAGCTGTGGTCCCCATTTCCTAAGCTGTTTTGACTCTAGCTGCTCTCCAGGCAAGTGAAGAAGTATGATTGGTATGTTATTTCCATGGAGGATAGAGCACTCCATGAGCTGGCTTTTGCTGGTGATAATATAACTAGGATTGAAAAAAGCATTGATTTTTTTTTTTTCTACAGCCATCACCATTAATCTTCTCTGTATATTTTGCATTATCCAAAACTGAAACTCTGTACCCATCAGTTCCCATTCCCTCCTTGCCCCAGCCCCGGTAACCAGTTTTATGTTTTCTGGTTCTGTGAATTTGAGTATTCCAGGTACCTCATACAAGAGGAGTTGACTTTTTGTCTGGATTAGTTCACATCATCGTTTATCAATGTTGCAGCATGTTTCAGGTTTCCTTTTTAAGGCTTAATATTTCTTGTGTGGATGTATCACGTTTTGCTTATCCATTTGTCTGTGGATGGGCACCTGGGTTGTTTCCATGTTTTGGCTGTTAGAATAATGTGGCTCTGAACATAGATGTACCAATATCTCTTCAAATGTCCCTGCCTAGAATTCTTTTAAGTATTTATCTGGACATGGAATTGCTGAATCATAGGATAGTTCTAAGTTGAATTTTTGGACGAATCACAAACTGGTTTCCACAGCAGCTCTGCCATTTTACATCCTATTAACCAATATAAGGGTTCCACTTTCTCCAAAACCTCTCCAACACTTGGTATTTTCTGGTTTTTTTGTTTGATTTTTTGTTTTGTTTTGTTATGTTAATAGTCTAATAGGTATGTAGTGATATCTCATTGTGGTTTTGATTTGCCTCTTCCTAGTAGATTAGCAATGCTAATGTCTTTTCTTGTGCTTCTTAGCCATTAGTATATTTAATGGGTAAGTTCTTTTTCCATTTTTGATTTAGGATTTTTTTGTTGTTGTTGAATTGTAAAGTTTCATATATATATGGTAGAAATTGGTTTCTCATATATATGTATATATATATGTAGTTTCTTTCTCTGGATGAAGACAGTGTCTTTCTTTTTTAAAAAATTTGTTTTAATTAGTTATACATAACAATAGAATGCATTTATATACTTTGATATATCATACATAGGTGAAGTATAATTTCTCATTTTTCTGATTGTACATGTTGTAGAATCACATCAGTCATACATATACATAACGTAATAATGTCTGTACCATTCTACTGTTCTTCCTATCCATGTATCCCCTTCCTCCCCTTCTTTCACTCCCCTCTACCTAATCTAAGTTAATTCTGTTCTTCTCTAGTACCCCTCCCCCCCATTTATTGTGAATTAGCATCTGCATATCAGAGAAAACATTTGGCCTTTGGTCTTTTGGGATTGGTTTATTTCACTTAGCATGATATTCTCCAACTCCATCCATTTACCAGCAAATGCCATAATTTCATTCTTCTTTATGGCTCAGTAATAGTATTCCATTGAATATATATACCACATTTTCCTTATCCATTCTTCTATTGAAGGACATTTAAGTTGGCTCCATAGTTTAGGTATTATGAATTGAGCTGGAATAAACATTGATGTGGCTACGTCACTGTAGTATGCTGATTGTTAAGTCCTTTGGGTATAGACCAAGGAGCGTTAATGCACAGAAATTTTTAATTTTCATAAAAAACTGTTTCTCACATGTTTCTTTATGGCCTGTGTTTTTTGTGTCCTATTCAATAAACTATTACTATATTAATTGTCATAAAGATTTATTTCTGTTTTCTTTTCAAAATTTAATAATTTAGCTCTGAAGGCTATGTATTTGATTTTTTTGTTTTTTGATATTTTTGTTGTTGTTGTTGTTTATATGTTTGTTTGTGGTACCAGGAATTGAACCCAGGGGCACTTAACCACTGAGACACATCTCTGCTCTTTTTATTTATTTATTGAACTGTCCATACTTCAATTCTTTTTCTATTTTTAGTTGTAGACAGATACATTGCCTTTATTTATTTCTTTATTTATGTGGTGCTAAGGCTTGAACCCAGTGCCTTATACAAGCTAGGCAAGTGCTCTACCACTGAGCTACAACCCCAGCCCCTCTTTTTATTTTTTATTTTGAGACAAGGTCTTACTAAGTTGCTTAGGGCCTTACTAAGTTGCTGAGGCCGGCTTTGAACTTGTATTTCTCCTAAAATCTTTGCCACTTCCACCTCAGATAGAGCAATAATCTTCAGGATATATAAAAAACTCAAAAAAAGTTAACACCAGAAAAACAAATAACCCAATCAATAAATGGGCAAAGGAACTGAATAGATGCTTCACAGCAAAAGAAATACAATCGGTCAACAAATATATAAAAAAAAATGTTCAAATCTCTAACAAGTAGACAAATGCAAATCAAAACTACACTGAGATTTCATCTTACTCCAGTCAGAGTGGCAATTATCAAGAATACAAATAACAGTAAATGTTGGTGAGGATGTGGGGGAAAAGGTACACTCATATATTGCTGGTGGGACTGCAAACTGGTGCAACCACTCGGGAAAGAAGCATGGAGATTCCTCAGAAAACTTGGAATGAAACCATAGTTTGACCCAGTTATCCCAAAGGAATTAAAATCAGCATACTGCAGTGGCACAGCCACATTAATGTTTTTAGCAGCTCAATTCACAATAGCTAAGCCAGGGAACCAATCTAGGTACCTGTCAACAGATAAATGGATAAAGAGAATGTGGTACGTATACACAGTGGAACGTTACTTAGCCATAACGAAGAATGAAATTATGGCCTCTACAGTTAAATGGATGGAACTGGAGACTTATCATGCTAGGTGAAATAAATCAATCTTAAAAAAACCAAAGGCCGAATGTTCTCTCTGATATTGTGGATGGTAACACACAATAAGGGTTGGGGGGAGAATAGAGGTACTTTGGTTTAGACAAAAGGGAATAAAGGGAAGGGAGAAGGTATGGGAATAAAGGGAAGGGAGAAGGTATGGGAATAAAGGGAAGGGAGAAGGTATGGGAATAGGAAAGACAGTGGATGAATTGGACATAAGTTTCTTATGTTAGTATATGAATACATGACCATTGTAACTCCCCATCATGTACAACCACAGAATGGGAAGTTATACATTTATGTATAATATGTCAAAATATTCTACTGTTATGTATAACTAAAAAGAACACCAAAAAAATTAAAAAAAAAAAAAAAGGAAGCAGCAGAGCCAAGATTTGATTCCAAGTAGTCTCCTGGCTCTGAAGTCCATGACATCCTTGGGAAAAGAACAAATCTGAAATTTGTCTGCCCAGTGTTTACCAGTCATTCTATTTTAATGTTTTATATCTCTATATAACAAATAAAATGATCTGTGTAATGAACATGTGATTCTTTTCATTGCATCTGAAGACTTAATCTTTATCATTCCACATGATTTTGCACAATGCCTGCTTTTGTAACGATTTTTTGTATTGGCAATGTTTATAGGAGCACAACTCACAATAGCTAACCTACTAGGTTAGTTTCCCTTCAACAGATGAAGAAAATGTGGTGTGTATACACAGTGGAATATTACTCAACCTTAAAAACGATTTTTATTGGTAAATGGATGGACCTGTAAACTATCATGCTAAGTGAAATAAGCCAATCCCAAGATCCAAAGATCATGTGTTCTCTCTGATATGTGTATATAACAACACAATAAGTGGAGGAGGGGAAGAATAAAATTCAGTGAATTAGACAAAGGAGAATGAAGGCAAGGGAGTTGGGATGGGAAAAGAAAAGACAGTGGAATGAATTGGACATAACTTTCCTATGTTCACATATGAATACACCTCTAGGGAAACTCCACATCATGTACAATCACAAGAATGGTATCCTAATTAGAATAAGTTATACTCCATATATGTATAATCTGTCAAAATATACTCTACTGTCATATATATTTAAAAAGTACAAATTAAATAAATAAATAAATTGAATGAACTTGAGATCCTCCTGCCTCAGCCTCCAGAACCACTAGTATTACAAGCATGTGTCACTGCACTAAGTTTGGATTAAGTTTTGTTGGTGGTGTAAGGTAAGGCATTCTTTTGCATGTGAGTATGCAGTTTTCCCAGCAGCTTATGTTGAAGAGACTGTCCTTTCTCCATTGAGTGGTCTTGATATCCCTTTTGAAAATCATTTGACCATATGTTAAGTATTTATTTTTGGACTCATTAGTCTATTTTATTGGTTATATATCTGTATTTATGACAGTATCACATTATTTTGATGACTGTAGCTTATAGTAAGTTTTGAAATTAAGGAAGTGTGAGAATTCCCTTTTTTCTCTTCAATATTCTTTTGTTTACTTGCAGTCTGTTGAGCTCCCATATAAATTTTAGAGTGAATTTTTCTATTTCTGAAAAAAAAAAAATCGTGGCCTTCATAGGAATTGCTTTGAATCTGGAGATTGTATTTGTAAGGAGTAAGTCATTTTTAATTTTAAGCCTCTTTTCTTATTATCAAGAATGAAACATCTACATAATATAATGGAATCTCATTTTTACTTTATTATTTCTGCTTTTACCTTCTCGGTGGTATAATTTGTATTTTTATTTTAAGGATGTGTAGATGAAGATACAATGTTATGTCTTCTTATCTAGAAGTCCCAAAATTATTTGTTTAAGAAAATTCATTAATTCAGATTAACTACAGACTTAATTTTCTTTAATGTGTGATTTATTTCGTGGTGCTTTTCTCAGTATGTTTTATTATGAAAAGAATATAGAAAAAAAATCATTCTTCTGAAAACTAGAAACTTAACACCTCCCTAAACTCAGCCTTTTCACCAAGCCCTTGTTTATTAGGTGTGTATTCCTGGATACAGTTATAGTTTATTTTCATTGATTTATTCATGATTATGATAGTTTAAAGATGGCTATTTTCCAAATAAAATAGAACCCTTCTGTTTGGGTGGATTTTACAATATTTATTGTATGTTTAATTCCAATGTGCTTGATATTGTGCTAGGCTTCTTAGAAGATAAAGTGGTGTCCAGGCTTTTCAGTGAGCATTCAGTCAGAGAAATGGGGTAAACACACAAAATACCTATGCTCATCAATTACCACAATCAATGAATAAGTTAATAAGCATTATTAGATTAGCAATCGTGGCCTTAAGACATCACAGATGCTTAAATGAAAAAGTTTTATTTTGGCATCTACCTAGACAAATGTGGGAAGGGTCATTCTAGGTAGGGGAAAAAACAAGTAAATGGTTAAAAATGGGAATAAGTAGGGGTTGAGGTTGTGGCTCAGTGGTAGAGCACTCACCTAGCACGTGTGAGGTGCTGGGTTCAATCCTCAGCACCACATAAAAATAAATAAAATCAATTGTGTCCAACTACAACTAAAAAAATATATTTTAAAGAAAAGAAAATATATTAAAAAAATTTTTAATGGAAATAAGTAAGTGTTCCGGGAATAGTATAATATAAAGACATACCCAATTCCAATGTATAATTTATAATGGAAATGTCATTGGTACTTTTACGTATACAGATCAGACTCATGTTTCTAAAACATGAGAATGTTGCTGAGAAGCTTTGCTACGAATTTTCAGTTTGGGTGAATGTGTGTATGTCTGGGCAGGTGGCACATGGTGTTCAGTGACCCCACAGAAGACATTTTGTTTTCATTTTTTCATCTTTGAACAAATTTATTTATGAGACCCTCATTCCTATAATGTAAAAAGAAAATATTTTGCTATTATTTCATATTTGAAAATCTGTACAGTGGAGGAATCTTATTCTCTGAGAAATGGGATAGATTTGATTTTTCTTAGAAGCTTACTGGTTTTAACTTGCTTGACTTTTTAAATGTTTTATGGTAGGCTTAGAATGTTAATATTTATATAAAAGAAAAATGTTTACTATTTAAGATTTTAATTGTATAACCACAAAGCAGAACACTGTGAACCTTTCTATATTAGGTCTTTATCAGAGAATAAAATTCTACTTTTGGAAAATTTTGCTGAAGCATGAGACTATCTCCTTTTTCTTAGACTAAGTGAAAATATAGCTAAAATAACTGCCTTGACGGGAAGAAATCAAAGTTCCTACTTCATAATAAATAATGATGAATCATAAAAGAAAAAACATTGGAGATCACTGGGAACATTTAGCTTTTTGAAGTTTTTGGAAAATCTGCCTTAAATGTTTTTGAGATACAGTAAAGGACAGGAAAGACAGTTGAAAGTTTCTTGGACTTCTTCTCTTCCTTTATTAGTAAGGGGAGTAATAACATCCAAATGGTATTTATATAAAAACATGCCTTTTAAATGGTAGTCTAGTGTAATCAAGAGGGGTTTTCTAGTGCTGTTTAAATATTTTCACATTACATTACTTTGAACTTAGAGATTCAGTTATGTAAGATTGTTCAAATCTTTGTTTAAAACATAAAATTCCATCTCAGTGGGATAAAAAGTTAATATTAAACCTGTATTTATGATCCTTTAGAAAATGTTTAGACAGATTATATGTATGTGTACTTTAGCTTACAAGCTGTATTGATAGTGATTAAAAGTATGACCCTATAGGTAGTCTTTTTAAGCAAATAAAACTGTTTGGATGCTTTCCCAGGATGATTGGGTTGCCCTCCAGGCGAATCTCTTCGATCCGATCCCGAATGTAACGAGTGTCATTAGCCTTGCAGAATGTATCATCTGTAATTGAAGTTATGTTGTTAAACTGAAAAACAAAAGAAATAAAAATTGATCATAAATCTGAAATCAACCATCTGTTGCTATGTAGTAGGATCCCATGGAATATTTTTTCAAAAAAGTGTATCTCATGATAATAAAACTGTGCAGTCTGAGCACCCCTTTTTAAGTGTACAATGATATTTTGGAAGAATAGACTATCAATTATTAAAAAGTAATTTTTGTGTAGCACAAAGTTCTGAATGTAAATAGGCTTATATAAAATGGAGAAAGTATCCTATTCTAGAGTGTCACTTCCAAAAATGTACTGTGTCCTTAGGTATTCTCTAAGGAAGTAACGTAACGCAAGTTGGAATTCTTAGGATTCTGAAAAAACAATTTCAGTTTTTTGTTTTCATTCCTCCTTCACTTTTGCATTCCCTACTTGATGTTGTACTTAGAAATGTTTACCTGTTTGGAGAAAGAGACATGAATTAGAGGTCCCAGTGCCCCCTCACTGTAAGTCCATGTGTTAAGATTAGCTAAGAGATGCCAAGTGTACATTGGACACAAATTTCACTTAAGAGCATTCTTTACACCTGTAGTGGGTGTAACCAGTGGCTGATCTGGTTCTAATCTCAGCTTCTGGGCAGGAAGGTTCATTTGACTAAATATTAATACTTTTGATGAACATTGAGCTATTGCACTGCCGTAGTCATCTAACCGTAATTTACAAGTGACTTTCCCAGTGAATTTTAAGAATGACCCATAAGTACTCAAAGCCAGAGATTGTAATAAGAGCAATTATACCTGAAGATGAATTATACGTAGACTTTCTGGTAAGTTAGGAGGCACAGATTCCAGGGAATTATGGTCCAGGTAGAGGAAGGAGAGATTATTCAATTTCTGAAAGGAAAATTTAGTTGGAGTGTTATTGAGGTTTGTGTATTCCTTCACTGGATTCAAGCAATTTCTATAAAAGAATATTGGTATGAACACATATCAATAGTACATATGCTTGGTATGATAGTTTCTTGTTTTGGTCATCACTGTTTGGCTTTACAACTAGTGTATTTTGGTCCTTTATGGCCTTTATGATGACCAGCAAAGCTCTGCTTCTTACCTCAAGTTTCTGTCCATTCATCTCATCTCTGAATACCAAGCTTTGATGCCATGATCTTTCTGGGCCCTTTGAATTTGTCCTGGAAACAGCTTAATGAGTTCACTTACTGTGGGAAATTGCTTTTTGGATCCTGATGCTGTCCTAACCTCTCTTGATCTTCTGAAGCTTCCCATTTCAACTCCACCAACTTGTAGTGAAGCAGTCACACCTAACAGATGTATGTTGAGCAACATGTTTCCTGAAGCAATTTATGAAACACTTAACTTGCTATGGCTTTTTCCATAAGGAATTCATGTTGGGTTACTCTTCGTGAACACTAACTCATTAAAGTGTATAATTATATACTATAGTTTTCCTAGATATTGCTGTTTTACCTTAACTTTGATATGCATTCTGTATCAGATCTTGCTAATTCTTTTCTGTACTATTAAATTCCTTTGTAAAAGCATCCTGCTTTTCCAACATATGGGTAACAAGCACCTATATTCCCAGTGGGTCTCATTTATGTGAATTATAGTAACCTTATTTTACTAGTATCTGTTATAATCCTAGGGCATTTAGCAAAGCTACAAAAAGGCCAAATTTATCATTTTCATTCAAGTTGTCATGAATCCTCTCTATATGTGTAAAACCACAAGTACTTGAAACATTCCTCACCCCCTGCCCCCATAAGGAGTCTCACTATCTTGCCTAGGCTGGCCTTAAACTCCTGGGCTCAAATGATTCTCCTGCTGCAGCATTCCAAATAATATCGACTATAGGCATGTGATACTGTGCCCAGCTCAACATTTTTTTTTGTTTTTTAATGAAATGTTGATTATCTGGTAAGTATTTAGTACGCCAATTATTCAAAGATGCCCTACTTAAATTTATATCTTGAAATTACAAGTTTTAAGAAGTGAGTATGCTTTTAAAAAGTCTGCTAAAAGCCTCTTAACTTCTGAGTTCCTTATCAGAAACATATCGGGAACTCTGATCTAACTTTAAAATCTCTCTTAAAATTGAAAAAGGAGATCTTAAATATAAACAAAAAGGGAAGAGAAGTGAAATATTTTAACATTTTTCAAGAGACTATACATTTATGGACACATTATACATTGTATAATGTATAATGGCTCTTTGTTATGAAAGAAATATCTTCATTTATTTCATCAAAATAGTCTTAAATGGTCATCCAAACAAAATCTGCATGAGGTGTCACACCCCTGTCATCTCAGCAACTCTGGAGTCTGAGGTAGGAGGATCATTTGAACCCAGGAGTTCAAGGCTGGCAAGATAGCAAGAGCATTTCAAAAAAAGAAAGAAAGAAAAAATAAGTAATCAAAACAGAATTACTGACCAAAGTTTCTCTCTCTTTTGATATTTTATCGCTGATACTGTGTTCAGCCATATGATGAAATACTTACTTTGAATGTATTTGCTTTGATCCCTCTGCTCTTGATTTTGTTGTATTTTGCATTAAATAAAGTAAGCTTTGGAGGAAGAACTGGAAGTTTCAGTAGTTGATTTTCAGCAAGCGAAAGCTCTTCTAACAGAGAAAGTTTTGAAAAAGTACCATCTTCTATGTCTTCTATCAAGTTTCCCGTAAAATCAAGTCTTCTTAAGTTAGCTTGAGGGGGAAAAAAAAAATCTTGTTGCCTGAAGAAAGCATTTGTTTAACGGATCACATCTTTTCTTTAGTGCCTACTAGAGTGTCTGCTCAGGAAAGTTTACTGTTGTTATCATTTGTGTGGATGGTGCTAAGAATTGAACTTCAGGTCTTGCACATGCTAGTCAATCTCTACTATGTGATACATCTCAAGCTGCATCAGTAGAATTTTGTTGAACACCGAATATCTCTTTGTGTCTAACGATAATGCTTTGTCTAACTGCAGTCCAAGAATCTCAGGTTTGGAAGAGATTTTAAGTAGTCTTTCCATATATTTGAATTTCTCAGGATGCATAGGCAGATTGAAATAAATTCTTATTGCAAATCATGGGAAGTAAGCATAACATTAGATTGACTGGAATCATGTAATTAGTGCTTTTGAAAAAAATTTTTGGCCAGCACATTGCATTGTAATTGTGGGTATGTTACCTTAATCTCTCTAAGCCTTATTACTTAAGTGTTTCCTGATTTGTAACAGTCATGCAGATTGAGAGATTGAGAAATTCAGTGTGCATATGTATGTGCATATCACTTTTTCCAAGATGATTGAGAAATACAGTTGGTACTCATTCATATTAGTTTTTCTCCTCCCCCTGTGGTACTAGGAATGGAACCCAGGGGTATTCTACCACTGAGCCATATCCCCAGCCCTTATATTTTATTTAGAGACAGGGTCTAACGAGTTGCTTAAGGCCTCACTAAGTTGCTAAGACTGCTTTTAAACTCACAATCCTCCTGTTTCTGGGATTACAGGTGTGCACAACCACGCCTGGTGTGCACATTTCCAGCTCTTTTTAAATTTTCAAATTTTGAGACAAGGTCTTGCCAACTAGCTGAAGCTGGCTTTAGACTTGTGTTCCTCCTACCTTGACTTTCCAAGTAGCTGGAATTACAAGTATGTACCACTGTGCCAGGCCACAATAGTCATCTCTATAATGTTGCTACAAATATTAAATTAATGAAAACTGAACCATTGCTCCTAGGGGAATTACAAGGTTAGGTTTCCATGAGCCTTTAGTCAGTTATTTTTGTCAACCAGTTGCTGCTGTTATGTGTTTTTATTTAAAGATAATTTGTTTAATGTACAATGTTGGCTCATTAACATTGCACTATTACCTTATGCCTGAATGTAGTTTATTGGGCACATGTATTTTCTCTGTAAAGCATATCACAGCCTTCCTGCACTTAGAAATGCTATGGAGCACTGCAGCACTAGTCTTGGGCTCTTTTCAACAGTAAAATTATCAATAAAAAGGATAAAACTACAGAAAACATGTCACTAAATAGACTGAATAAGCATTTATTTACAGTATGAGAGTTGAAATCAGAAGAGAGTTTTGCTTTGTTCAGCCTCAGCTGGGGATGCTCATTTTAAATAACTCAATTTTTTTTTTTGCTGCTCCATTTGTATCTGCTAATGATCACGAAAGTATCATGTGTATTGATTTGGAGGTTACAAAAAGACATTAGCAAGTAGGTTAATTTGCAAATAAGGGATCCCAAATCATGAGGATGAAATGTACTTCATTCCACAGTTGGGAGATACTACTGGCAGCATGAATGCAGTTATAGTTAATACAGTAAATGTATAATGAGGTCAGTGCACATTCCTATGTGTGTGTGATTTTTTTAGTATATATATATATTTTTAATTGTAGATGGACACAATACCTTTTATTTTATTTATTTATTTTTATGTGGTACTGAGGATCGAACCCAGGGTCTTGCATGTGCTAGGCAAGCACTCTACCACTGAGCTACAGAGTCTAAGAAACTGACAAGAAATCAATGATCCAATGAGGTTTTATACTGAAGAGGTAGAGCCTTCTGCTATACAAATGATAACACCCTTGTTGGGTTAAGGTTTAATAGGAATCCAGGAGTTTAACATCATTAATGACCTGGGAAAGTTAAATGCCACTATTTGCAACAAAGAAGTTTGGTTCTTTTTAATGATGATGCCTGGCCTCTGCCACATCCTAGATTAGAACCTCTGGGAAATACAGCTTTGTATTAGTATTTTAAAAATACTTGCCCAGATATTTTTAATATATAGCCAGGTTTGTAAAACATTGAGTTAAAATGAAGAAAAGCAGTTCCTGTGCTTTCACAGAAAAGGTGGAATATAAAACATTATGGTTAGAGAAGTATTGTAGTTATGTTGATGGTGCTCACTATCTGAAGCAATGGATCCATCCTTCCTTCCTTTTTCTTTTTAGAAGTTCTGGAGATTGAACCCAGAGCTTGATGCATGCTAGGCAAGCTCTCAGCCACTGAGCTATACTCTCAGTCTGCAAAGTGGATCTTGAGTTATGAGGGTTGAAAAATTACTGCTGTTCGTTTGTTAGGCTGTTGACACAGACATCAATCACCAGTAAAGAAAGATGACAGAGAAAGTCAGAGTGGAAAGAATATTTACCAACAAACCAGTCATTTTTGTGACAACTCCATATGTGGCAGGCTATAAGTATGTACAAATTTCTTTATAGGAGTTAGTACTACTATCATATTTAAACTTAACTTACGCATGTCTGCGAAATCTTTAGCAGTCAGCTTTTTAATTTTATTGAATCGTGCATAAAGATAGGCTGATTCCTTTGGCAAGGGTGGTACAGCATCGATGTCAACTTCTTCACAGTACACAGAGCCACTTAAACAAACACATAAGAGGCACGTGGGCATTTCTAAATTGGGAAACAAAGTCATGAAAGTATAAAAAGCAGTTTGAAAATATTTAGCCTCTAGTGCTAAAATTGTTGGTATTAAAAATGTTACTATTAATTTGAAAAGGTATTTGACAGAATCATAGATGATAGTAGTAAGCATATTTATTTAGTAATGGTAGCCAGTGACCTACATTGTGCTTGATAATTAGAATTTTTAAGGTCTAAAAAAAATTTAAATCTATAAATTTATTTCAGATTGGTGACAGTGACTAAAGTCTTTAGAAATCACTAGTTGAATGAGCAAAATATTAATTTGAAAATTAGAAGTCATCACAGGCACTGTTCAGATACCAGGTCTGAATTCTACTTGAGTTGCCTCGGGGTAACTTGGGAAGTTATTTGTGCCCCAACTCGTTGATTTCATTTATTTATCCCACCTTTTTCTTTTAACCTGGAGCAGTTCCTTAGTCTTTGTTTTTTGTATCATTTTTGAAGAGTGAAAACCCTCCATCCCCTGCTGTCCCCTGACATTTATTTTGCAGAATTTCTTTGTATTAGGGTTTGTCTGAGAATTTCATTTTTTGGCTGGAATACCTTGAAAATGGCGTTGTGTCCTCAGTGTTGCGTATCAGGAGACACTTGGTATCTGTCTCTCCTGATAATGTTTTTGGTCATATGGCTAAAATGGGTCTGCCATGTTTCTCACTCTGTAAGGTTACTATTTTTCATCTTGTAATTAATAATATCTTTTGGAAAAGTACTTTGAGACAAAAACAAAAAAAAATTTGATGTGTTGTCAAACTTTTATCCATTGTTTTAGGATGCATCAATAATTCTTAACTGAATGATTTTTTTTTTTTTTTTGAACCAGAGATTGAACTCAGGCATTCAACCACTGGTCCACATCCCCAGACCTATTTTGTATTTTATTTAGTGACAGGGTCTCACCGAGTTGCTTATGCCTCACCATTGCTGAGGCTGGCTTTGAACTCACGATCCCCTTGTCTCAGCCTCCTGAGCCACTGGGATTACAGGCATGTGCCACTGTTCCAGGCCCGACTCATTCCTTATTAGGATAGTTGCCAAGTAGCGAGTATCTAATTGCATCATCCCTTGTGTTTTTGTTAGTTGGTGTTCTGCTGTAAAGTGGACCATTCTTTTCCTATTTATTTTTTATATCAATATGAATTCATGGATTTTCTATTCATGAGTCATAATCAGTTACCATCATGTTTGTTTTAATAATCAAATTGTCATGGATTAGCCGGCGTTTTTTTTTTTTTTTTAAGCTTTTTCTCCCACAATTTTTTATGGCTAATTGAGTAAATTCATATATTTAAATTGTACAATTTGTATTTGACATATGTATGTACCCACAAGACTTTCACTCTAATTGAGACAATTGATATATCCATCCCCACCCCCAAATTTTTTCATGCCCCTTATCATACCTTTCTCCCACTCTTGTTGTCAAGCAACCACTGATCTGCTTTCATTACTTTGAATTTAGGAGAATTTTATAAGAAAAGAATAATTTAGCACAATTCACAATAGCAAGACTGTGGAACCAACCTAGATGCCCTTCAATAGACGAATGGATTAAAAAAAATGTGGCATTTATACACAATGGAGTATTACTCTGCATTAAAAAATGACAAAATCATAGAATTTGCAGGGAAATGGATGGCATTAGAGCAGATTATGCTAAGTGAAGCTAGCCAATCCCTAAAAATCAAATGCCAAATGTCTTCTTTGATATAAGGAGAGTAACTAAGAACAGAGTAGGGATGAAGAGCATGAGAAGAAGATTAACATTAAACAGGGATGAGAGGTGGGAGGGAAAGGGAGAGAGAAGGGAAATTGCATGGAAATGGAAGGAGACCCTCAGGGTTATACAAAATTACATACAAGAGGAAGTGAGGGGAAAGGGAAAAATAATACAAGGGGGAGAAATGAATGACAGTAGAGGGGGTAGAGAGAGAAGAGGGGAGGGGAGGGGAGGGGAGGGGGGATAGTAGAGGATAGGAAAGGCAGCAGAATACAACAGACACTAGTATGGCAATATGTAAATCAATGGATGTGTAACTGATGTGATTCTGCAATCTGTATACGGGGTAAAAATGGGAGTTCATAACCCACTTGAATCAAAGTGTGAAATATGATATATCAAGAACTATGTAATGTTTTGAACAACCTACAATAAAAATTAAAAAAAAAAGAATAATTCACTATATATTCTTTTGTCTGGCTTCTTTCACTCCACATAGTTATTTTGAGATTCAACCATTGTTGAGTGTATCAGTGATTCATTCCTCTTTATTACTTATTATTTCATTGTCTAAGTGTATACAATCAGTACATCGGCTCTTATAGACATTTGGGTCAGGTTTTGGCCATTTCTAAGAAAGCTTCTGTGAACACTTACACACAGATTTTTGTGTGTAAAAAAAATCCCTCCCATTAGGCCCCACTGCCTAAAGTTTCCATCCCTCCTAATAGTGCCATCACACAGACTTAATTCTTTCATTTCTCAAGTACATACCAAGAAATGGAATGACTGGATTGTATTATGAGTGTAAGTTTTATCTTTTGAAGAAAGTCTTCAACTATTTTCTAAGGGACTATGCCATTTTTAACATTTCCACCACAATGTATGAGAACTCTAGTTGCTGTATATCCTTATCAACATTTGATATGGTCAGTCTTTTTAATTTTAGCCTTCAAGTAGAGTGTGTTGTGGTATGTCATTATGTAATTTGCATTTCCCTAATCACAAGTAATATTGAACATTTTTTTATGTACTTATTTGACATCCACAAATTTTCCTTGGTAAAGTGTCTATTCATATGTTTTGCTTATTTTTTAACTGGATTTTTGTACAATTATTGACTTGTAGGATTATGTATTCTAGATATAAGTCATTTGTCACATTTATGTTTTATAAATGTTTACCCCAGTTGTAACTTTTTATTTTTTGTCAGTGTCTTTTGAAATACAAATATTTTAAATTTTAATGAATGATTCCTTTATATACATATTTTTTGCTGTTGCTATTGTTTTTATGAACTATTTGGTAGTCCCTGTGTTAGCTTTCTGTCACGGTGGCAAAACACTTGAGAGAATCAACTTGAAGAAAGATTTATTTTTGGCTCACAGTTTCAGAGGTTTCAGTCCATGGTCAGTTGTTGGCACAATTCCTTTTGGGTCTATGACAAGGCAGAACATCATGGCAGGGAGAATGTGGTGGAGCAGAGCTGCTCACCTCATAGTCTCCAGGAAGCAGAGAGAGAAAGAGGATGGGCCCAGGGTCCCAATATACCCTCAAAGGGCACACCCCTAAATCCCTCCCATTAGGCCCCACTGCCTAAAGTTTCCATCCCTCCTAATAGTGCCATCAGCTTGGGAAGCTATCTTTAACACATGAATTTTGGGGGCACATTTTTAGATTCAAACTACAACAATCACTAAGATTTTAATGCCCCCCCCCACCACCACAAGTTGTATAGTTTAAGCTCTTTACATTTAGGCACTGGTCCATTTTGAGTTAACTTTTATGGTAAATTTGGTAATAAAAAAGGTTAATATCTTTTTTCTCTGTTATGGCTGCTGGTATTTCAACATAATTTTGGGGAAAGATTAACCTTTCCCCCACTGATTTGTGTTGGCACATTTTCAAAAACTGGTTCACCGTATTGTATAAACCCTTGGATTTTTATTTTGTTCCATTGATGTTTTTAAAATTTTATTTTTACACCAATACCACAATATCTTGATTCTTGTACTTTTATAAGTCTTGCTATGATGTCGTATAAATTCTCCAACTTTATTCTTCTTCAACATTGTTTTGAGTATTATAGGTGCTTTGTATATCCATATAAATTTTATTTTTTATTTTTTGTACTAGGTATGGAACCCAGGGGCACTCATATACTGAGCTACATCCCTAACCCTTTTTATTTTTATTTTGAGACAGGATCTTGCTAAGTTGCCAAGGCTGGCTTCAAACTTGTTATCCTCCTGTCTTAACTGCCAAAGTTGCTGGGATTAAAGGCATATGCCACTACAACTGCCTTTTTCCATACAAATTTAGACACAGCTTTTAATTTAAAATAAAATCTTGAAAAAGCCTGTTAGAATTTTGATTGGAGTTGTATTTATGTTTGGGGAAAATTGATATCTTGATTGTTATTAAGTATTCCAGACTTTGAACACAATATATTTCTCCATATATTTAAATCTTCTTTAATTTCTCTCAATAGTATTGTCTGACTTTCAGTGTATAGGACTTATATATATTTTCTACATATTTACTTGTGTATTTCATACATTATGATGAATTTTTAAAAAATATTATACACATCTATTATTCTTTGAGAAAGTCTTTATTTTTTTAGCCTAGAAAGATGTCCCAGACAAATCTTGCATTTTCCCTACCTCAATCCTAAAGTGAGTTCTCTCTTCAAAAAGTACTGGTTCTTTTTAGTGCAGAATGGTATTAGAAACCAAGATCTCGGTTCTGGGTGTGCCCATTGCTGTTGGAATCTCATCATTCCCAGCTTGCAAAAGTTTAATGGAATCAAATGTAATGATCTTTTCTGTTAATATATCTGAACTTTGAGATGTTCGCCACACAGGGTGCCTTCTAGTGCATGTATTTTCATCATAAACATTTGGATCCCTAATCTACTTGGAGTATGGTTTTTGTTTTTTGTTTTTGTCTAAAGTATGAATCTAATTATATCCCTTTTCAAATGGATGTGTAGTTTTACCAGCTCCAGTTTTTTAAAAAATATTTATTTTTTAGTTGTAGTTGGTCATAATACCTTTATTTAATTTATTTTTTATGAGGTGCTGAGGATCGAACCCAGGGCCTCACACCTGCTAGGCGAGTGCTCTACCACTGAGCCACAACCCCAGCCCCAGCCCCAGCCCCAGTTTTTTTAAAAGTACCATTTTTGTGTCAGTGATTTAAGTTGGTACTGTGTGCTACATTTCTATCTATTCATGCACTAGGATTCACAATTTTTAAATTATAATATGTTTTAATGTGTGGTAGGTCTCATTCTGCATATACCAGACATTGTTCAGTGCTTCCCCCTGTGTTTGTGCATGTTTTTCCATATGAACTTTAGAATCTGTTTTTCCAGCTTTTATAAGTTTTTAGTAATTTTAGTGAACTTAGAGATAACTGCCATTTTTATGATATTGAGTCATCCTATCTAAGAACAAGGAATGACCATTTGTCCAAGTCTGCTTTTCCTAAGGTACTTTAAGATGTATTTTCTGCTTGGTTCATTTTAAATTTATTGTAGCATTATAGAAATTAATGTGTATTTTTCATGATTTTGTATGAAATAATGTTCTATTTTAGAGCAGGGATAAACGGAATACATAGGAACTATTAAATGGAACTTATTTTACTATAAGTTCTCTATTAGTTTAATGGAAATGGACATTTTAGTTAATTATAAAAAGAGCCATTTCTCTTCCGTGAGTTTCTTGAAGCCAAGAATTACATTTTATTTACCTTACCCTGAGGCTGTGCATTGTATTCAGGAAATGATCAATCTTTAAGTATTTCTGGAATTGATTTCATTTGGGTATAAACATACATTCTGCAGATGGTAAGCTTGGACTAAGCTTTGGTTGTTCTTGAATGCTCCTGTTCCATATTCTCATTCATAGTGTGCAGTGACAAATGATTGCACTCCCAATAATTTGCTTGTCTTTACCACTGGAGCTAAAATTTCAGTTTACATTTACTGTTATCTTGAGGTAATTTTTTATTACTATAAGATAAAGTTCCTGCAGTTATTTTTCAAGGTTCTTTTAGAAAAAATTAGATTATAGACTATTTGTACTTACCATCATTTTCTTTCTTGGGGGGTAATAATGTTACAGCTTCGTCTTTTTGTACCTGAAGACTTTTCTCATCAGGTATTATCATATTTTCCTATTGGAGAAATAATAGTTTGTTATCAGGTGTGATGAGGTCTAAATTTGACTGTCAACCCAGGTGTCACAGAGAGTGTTTATCTTCTCATAATCACAATTTCTTTTGTGTTCTGTTAGCATTTTTTACATAATTTCATTTCATAATTTATTACATTATAATATAAATGTGTTTTTACCCTAGACTGTGAGCTCCTGGAGTAAAAGAACCAGATTATTTTTTTATTTTTGTATTTGCAATGGCTGAACTCAGTACTTAGTAAATGTTGAATCCATTGAAATTCCTAGTGGAAACTTGGAGAGAATTCTACAAATGGGAATGACAGTTTTTTTGAGGTGAAACTATTTCATGTGGTTCTTGTCTTAGTTCCTCTTATCAGATTCTACCATTTTGAGCAAGAGGTGCACCAGAGCTCCCTGAAGCCACATGAGTGAAGTATTGTGTAAGCTTCTTCTGTCTCTTTTAGTGTTGAACCTTTAATTACCTACATGTCTCCTTGAAGCCCTGACCTTCAGAGCCCCTTTATTCTGGCCTTCTGTGGTACTCAAACCACTGGCCTAAGCTGTCAACTCTGGGGAACTGGAGTCCCTAACATTGACCTTCCTCTCTATTCTCAGAGAGTATGTTTTCAGCCATTGAAGTGTAGCATATTATGTGGGGTCCTATTCTTTCCACTCGTTGTAAGTGTGCTTCACTTTATCTCAGTCATCACTCCTGGCCTTGCCTTCCTTGGTCTTCATTTTTTCATCTGTGCTGGCTGCCTCCCCTACCCCCTGTCCCATTGAATTCTCTTTCATTCCACAAAATTTAGTCTACATGTTTAGACTGAAAAACTGCTAAAACCCTGTAACGAGAAGAAGCAGAGAGAAAGTTATCTCTAAACTTTTTAAGAATCAGGGAATTTGAAAGTGTTCTTATAATTGATTGATGGATTCAAATTATCCAAGTGAGCCAATTGCTTATATTTAGCTTATATTATGATGGGGTGCCGCTTCTTTTTTAATTTGTAACTATGACTGGAAATACCAATATTTTCTGTCATAATCATGGACAAAAATAATACCAGTATATCAACTTAACTGCATTAGAAGAAAGAAACAATGGTATTAACATTTGCTTATTCTGTGCGAAAAGAAAAGTAATTTAACTAGTCAGTCTTAAAATCTTCACCCTCTGGTTTATAGCAGAGAAGAACTTATCCAGCAACCAATTTTATTATATTTTTGGCTACATTTCTGGTTTTCCATTGTATGTGTGTATGTGTGTATGACGCATACAATGGGCAACAGATAGTTATGTGCTATGTAACTTTTTCCTTAACCAATATTCATTTCTGTGTGCCAAGAAAACCACAAATAATTACATTGCTTGAAGGTGAGATGTGAATGATGTGTTATAGAAACTCTTCTTGTAGAATGTTAACTCAATAACAGTTGCAGATCCTTGCAAACTGATATAGAGTCTAAACTGCTAAAACTGATTTAAAAGAAAGCCCCTATGAATTTGTTTTTCAATTTTTGGTACTTTGTGTAGTTGACATAACCAGTGCTCTTCTGGTCATTTCCTTGAACCATTTTTTCCCAAAATAATAAACTAAGCTAAGAATTCATCTTTATTCTCATTAATTTATTTTTTAGGCAGTAAAATATGCAAATATAGGGCATTGAATAACATAATATATAAATTGCAACTGGTCGGAGATCATCTTTAAAGTTTAGTTTCCCTTAAATTTTATTTTTTGTTTACTATAGCAACTATTTGGTTACTATAAGTAGTATTTATTAATTTGGAAGTCATGCATGTTCTAAAAGTATAATCTCAGGGGACAATTATTATGAATTACTTTTAACCATTTAAAATGCTTTTCATTTCCCCTTACTTTATCAGATAAATTGAAGAAAAACAAAATGTACATTTAAATGGGTACTATTTTAGAAGGTAAATTTAGAATAGAAATAAAATACCTTAATATTTTTTCCATCCAGGTATTTATCCTCATAATCTTGGCTAAATATGGTTTCTTCCAAGTTATCTGTTCCATACTCATGGGTGATGCCTGAGTCCTGCTGAGCTGGTGGTGCTGGCTCTGTCAGAGGCATGAACAGTAACAGGAGCAGTGTAGACTGCACAGTCTTCATTTCAGCAGAAATAAAGGTGACTGGAAGTTAATAAACCAGTGGCCTGCAGACTGTGGGACAAAACTCTGCTTTTCCCTGGAAATAAAAATGCAGACCATCGAAGCAATATTTAAAAGCTTAGAGGATGTTTTGGCAGAGTGTACGCAGTAGGGGCCAGAGAACAAGTATTTAACCCTTAGTGATCTTTAATTAGATACTAGCAGTTTGCATGTATCAGTAAACATTCTGAAAAATAGTTTTAGAAAGTTTTATTTATTGTCTATCAAAGATTTAAGAGAGGTTGATAATTTAAGTTTCTTAATAATTAAGAGCCTTCAATAGAGGTACTTGTATACAATGAAATATTTTTAGGATACCTGTAGTAGAAATAGTTAAATGAAGACCCAAGATCTGTCTCATGTGAGTTAAAAATATCATATTTCAACTTTGCTGCTTTATAAGAACTCTTGATTTTGCTTTTTGAAACAAGTTCCTAGAAAAAATTTAAAACTTAAATCTTAATTTCATATCATGTAGTCATTAATACTTACAGAATATAGAGTTTTGTAAATTTAATAGATTATCACTATTTTTAATTAATAATAAGGTCTTTTCAGTTTAAACTATGAAAACTGCAACAATAGTATTGTAGACTAGAGGAAATGCAGTGTTTAATCAAGGAACTTTGAGGAACATACTGGAAAGGATTCTTTTAGATTCACCAGTGTATTTTATCTGGTGGGCAGATATTTCAGATTATTTCTTAAGTAACTTCAGAATCATACAGAGTTGCTGATGCTACATTATAGATGCCAATTTCTCAAAAATCCAGTGATTGAAAATTAAGAATAAAATGAGTTTGTGAGTTTTGTAACACCCAGTTCTTATCTGCCTCAATATTAAGTTATGTAATGTAATGATAGATGAAAATAATTGTTAAAAATTAATTGTTCAAGGTAACTGAACTTAAACACATTAGAAATGTCCTTTACATTTATTAAGACTATTAGATACATCACACTTTAGCAAATAATATTTAAAATAATATGTGGGGGAAAAAGCCTACCGTTACAGCCGTTTTGAAGTTTTTTGTGGTTTTCCTCAATAGGTGTTCATGCCTGTGCATTAGCCCCAAGTGGTAGGGCGAGTGAGGAAAGCGGTGGATTGATTTCAAACTGCTGAATAAAATTTCAGGGCCCAGCAGCTTTAAGAGAGCAGTTTCCATGTGGTAAAGATCTTTGCCAACATTCCTCCTCTAGGGTGAAATGCAGGGTGTTGTACTAGAGAACTGTGCTGGAGATGTTGGAAATCGCTGCTATCTGGCTGCTTCGACTGAATACAGACCCATGTTCTTTTTATTTTGTGTAATAATCACTAATCTTTTAGTGAATATGAGTTTATAAAATGACATAGTTACAAAAATCACAATTTTCATTTTGCTGCTTTCCCATGAGATTGGGATTTGGGGTTGGTAATAAAAATATTTTTGTTTGCTGAATGAATGGAACTGCATAAACTTATTTTAATATTAAATTGATTTTAAAAAGTTAAAGTGGTATTATAGGTACCATGTAAGTAACTTTGAAGATTCACTTTTTAAAACCTAGGCACTTTTATTTGTATTACTCTTTAGTGCTTTTGGCAATCAAAGTAATATTTCTTTTTTCTCTAAGGTAAAAATTTAACAAATATGAATATTTTGTTAAAATGGAACCTGAAAGAATACCAGTTTTCTTTTCTATTGAAAATTGGTTTTAGCAAATTTCAAATCAAAGTTTAGATAAACTAAAACTTTTAACACTCAAGTTTTTATTTGAATGTGAATTACTTTAATTTTAATTATGATATGCTCTGATTTTGGTTGAGATAAATTATTGATTTTATGGCTTTAAAGGTAGAGTAAACTTTTCTGAATTTTCTTTTTTATCACATTTGTTTATTTGTTCATTTATTTTGGTGATGGGGATTGTCAACCACCGAGTCACGTCCCCAGCCCTATTTTGTATTTTATTTAGAGACAGGGTCTCACTGAGTTGCTTAGCACCTTGTTGTTGCTGAGGCTGACTTCAAACTCAATATCTTCCTATCTCAGCCTCTCAAGCCAATGGGATTATAGGTGTGTGTCACCACTCCCGCCTTAAATTTATTTTTTAAAACAGTAGAGGGTCTTAAAAATATGTAATCATAAAACAGTAGATATTGATTGGTATTGTGTGGCAGGTTAATGGAGCTGAAATGTAAGCTGGATAGATATATGTCCAGATTTGGAAAACCTTGAAGTCATGGTTTCATTAATGCTACAATTTGGTACTTTGGATTACAGAAAATTATTTTGTGTATTGTAATGTCTTTCCTTGAAAAGTTATGACCAGTAAGTATAATTTTATGAGCATTCATTTATTTAATAAAACTTTATTAAGCACCAGATCTGTGCCAGAACTACAAACTAACTTAGACAAATAGAATTCAGTTTTCCCCCTCAAGGATTTCTTGTAGTCTAAATCAACAGAAAGGCAGCTAATAAGCAACTAGAATGTAAGTTGGGTTTGCTGCACAGAAATGTACACAGGGCTGGCTGATACTGGAAGAAGCCACAACCTTTATTGGTTGAGGTCAAGGAGGTGCACCCACGCTGACTTCTATAGAGATTTGAAAAGAGGAGGGTTGCATGGCATTGAGGTGTTCCAGGCAAAAGGCACAGCTTATTGTGGAAGGGATGGATAGATAATTTTTAAAAACTTGTACTTGGTTGAATTTGGCTGGAGCTTAGAGTGAGGGAGAAAGAGAAAAGATGAGACAGAATGGACTATTTTAAGAGATTTGATTAGACAAGGAACCAGAATCAGATTAAAAAGAGTCTTTTATACCCTACTATTATGGTTTGGATGTGAAGTGTCCCCAAAAGCTCACATGTGAGACAATGAAAGAAGGTTCAGAGAAGAAATGATTGGATTGAGAGTCTTAACACAATCAGTGAATTAATCACCTCATGGGATTAATTGGGTTGTGGCTGAAAGCAGGTGGGGTGTGGCTAGAGGAGGTGGGGCTTTGGGCCATAGGTTTGGGGTATGTGTTTGTATCTGGAAAGTGGAGATCTCTCTTTCTGTCTCTCTGCCCCCACCCTGCACAGTCCCATGCTTTCTGATTACCATGTGAGCTGCTTCCCTCTACCACACTCTTCTGCCATGTTTTTCTCACCTTGAGCCCTAAGGCATGGAGCTATGGACTAAGACCTCTGAAACTGGAACCCCCAGATAAACTTTTCCTCCCCTAATGTTGTTGTGGTCAGGTCCTTTAGTCATAGCAGTGAAAAAGCTGACTAAAACACCTAAAATGTTTAGACTTTGGTCTGTAATCAGTGAGAGACTACTGAGAAATTCTTAAGCCATTAAGTAATTATGACCCTGTTTGCATTTTATAAATTTCCCTCTCATGGTATGTTTCTGATTGTTGTGATGGTTGTCTAGTACTGTGTAAGAAATTATCACAAATTAATGACTTTAAATAACATACACTTACTATTTCACAGCTACTGTGGGTCAGGAGTTTGACATGGCTTTGTTTGATTGCCTGCTTCAGAATCTCATCTGAAAGCTGCATTTGAAATGCAGCCAGAACTGGAGCCTCATTTTGAGGGTCCAATGGGGAAGAGTTGTTGGCAGCATTCAGATCCTTGCAGAATTTGGGACTATAGGCCTCAGTTTTCTGCTGTTAGCTGAAGGCCTCCTTCCTTGCAGTGTGACTTCCTTTATAGGGCAGCTTGCGACATGCAGCCTGCTTTACACTGGACAGGGAGGTTATGTATAGCAAGGTGGGCAACGTGGTCTTTTGTGGCCTTCAAATAAACATGATCACATGTGCATTCTCAGCTTTGCCACATTTTGTTGACTAAAAGTAAGTCTCAGAGTGCTCACATAAACCAAAGGGGCAATGATTATACAAGCTAGAGTCTGGAAATATCCAGAATTACATTGGAAAATAAACTAATGTTCCTGCCTAAAGTTAGCCAAATGATAAAATTGAGGCCATACCCTCCAAGACCACCCTCACCTTTGATAGCAAATCCAAGTTCAGATGACTCCCCAAACCACCCTCATAATCAATAATTGTCTAGAAGTGCTTCAAGAAGTAAGTGAAGGCTGTACTACTCAAGATTATGGCTTATGTAGGGAAAGATAAGCAGAAAAATCAGCCAAAGGAAGAGATGCATAGGGCAGAATCTAGAGGGGTTCCAAATATGAAGCTTCCATTGTTCTCAGGATATGTTGCCCTGTAAGCATTGATGGTGACAGTATGTACACACAAAGAATTGATTGCCAGGGAAGATCATCCAAGCCTTGATGTCCAGAGTTTTTATTGGGGCTTCATTAATGACTGGTTGATTGTTCATGTGATTGAATTCAACCTCCACATCTACTGATACTACATTATGCAAAGCCCCCATCTAAATTTCATGGTTGATATTTCTGATTACCTCAACCTGAAACTATTGAATTTGACTGGTCCTATATAAACTAAGATAGTCAAGGCAAGGTCCAGACCTCTCTTCAGGCTCTCTCTCTCTCTCTGGCGCTCTCTCTTTCTCTCTTGCTATACTGGGGATTGAACCTAGTGGTGATCTACCTCTGAGCTATATCTCCAGCCCTTCTTATCTAATTCCCCCCCCAAATAGGGTATTGCTAAGTTGCTTAGGCTGTCCTTGAATTTACAATCCTCCTGCCTCAGCCTCCCAAGTAGTTAATATGACACCTGGCCAAAGCCAGACATTGTATATACATTTCCCAATATTAAATGCTTAATACTAAAATAGGTTGTTTTCTGTTCAAGAAGGAAATGTTTTGTTTGAGTCAAAAGACTAGGAACAAGATGAAAACTGCTACTGTTCAAGAGTAGACATTGTATCCAAAATGAAGGATTTTTATCTGTTGGATTCTTTTAGGTGACCCTGTTGCATTATCCCTGTATCTTCTAGGAGATTTATTTCTTTGATAGTGTCCCATTAGCCTGTGGTTCTTCCTCCCAATTGCTTATGAGAGAGAGAGAGAGAGAGAGAGAGAGAGAGAGAGAGAGAATATGGAACTGAGTTTTGAAAACAAGGGTTTTCTGGGAATGAGGTATCTTGGTTCTACTGACAGAGCCCTTTTAGCTACCAAATGGACTTTCAATAAAAGCTACAAACCATAAGAGTCTTTTCTCCATTTTCATTTCCTTCATCTTCTAACTGTAGAAATCAGAACACTTAAGTTCTAGTTTTGATCTGCATTTACCTGAGCTGATCTTGGACACATTCTTTAATTTCTTTAGGCCTCATTCTTTGTTATTTTGTGTTTGTATTTTGTTTTTGATACTCAGGATAGAACTTAGAGGTGCTCTATGACTATGCTACTTCCTTAGCCCTTTTTTATTTTTAGAAAAGATCTCAACTAAGTTGCCAAGGCTGTCCTGGAACTTGAAATCTTCCTGTCTCAGCTCCCTGAGTCACTAGAATTACAGGGGTGCACCACTGTGCCTGGCTTTTTATCTGAATGACTATAATCTACATACCATAGAGTTTCTCATCCTCCATACCATTGACTTTCGGACCTTAGAATTCTCTTGTGGGAGTTTTTTGTTTTTATTTTTTGTGGTTCTTGGGATTGAACCCAGGGTTTGGGCATGCTGGGCAAGCACTCTCCCATGAGCTCCACCCTGATAATCCTTTGTTTTGGGGCCTTTGTATGCACTGCAGGATGTTTACCAGTACCACCTCCAGTTGTGGAAATGTCAGGGGTGGTGGAATTGACCCTGTTGAGAACTACTGAGTTTACATATTTATACCTTTTAAAGCCAACATTTGAAGGTATTATGGCAAGCCTATGGTTTAAATCTCCTGCTCATGCCTGAACACTGGTTGTTTGTTCACAGGAGTACAATGAGTATTTTCCTAAGTATTTAAAGGAAGGGGAATTATGACTAAACATAAGGAAGAGTTTATGGTAAAAATTTGTCTTTATTTGTGAATTTATATTTTTCTTAGTAGTGCATAAATCTATATGATGAATTCACAACCTAAACAGGTAAATTGATAAAAGATGTCCACAATATGATACTTATAACTAAGCATATTTAGCTTATAACTAGGCATAATTGTATATATTGAAGAAATTGGAGCATAAAAGGAACTTCAGATTTTTAGATCTTAGGATTTAATCTTGTTTCCAGCTGCTCTTATACTTTATTTCCAAGATTTACAAAAAATTAATTTGGAA